TTCTTAATTGTAAAACATTGAAGACATTTTCTTCAAAACCAAGAATAAGGGTGCCCAAAGTCACTGGCTTCTCTTTAGCATTGTCCTGAAGTTCCTAAAAGGCAGTCAGAAAAGAAAAAAACAAAACAAAACTGAAAAGCATAAGGATCGGAAGGGTAAGAGCAAAATCGGCATTATGAAATAATTACATACAACTACTTAAAAAGGATTACAAGAAATAGAGTTTAGTAAGATTGATTGATTCAGAAGTTAAATATAGAAGTCAATTGTACTTCAATATACCAGCAACACCACAACAAACAAAAATAGCATTTAATATAGCAAACAAAACCATAGGTGATCTAGGCATAGATCTAACAAAACATGTACAAGAACTGTATGAAGAAAATTATAAAGCTTTATTATAAAATTGACCTAAGTACTCCACTGAGGAAAGATACAGTCCACTCGTGCTAGTCACTGTGCCATGCCCTGTCCCTGTGAGTGACTTGAATGCTCGTAACAGCCCTCTAAATTAGGTTCTCTTATTTCCTGTGTTAAAATGAGTAAATTCAAACTCATCCACCTGTACCAGCCAGCCACCAAAACCAAAACAATGCAAAAACTCATACAAGTAAGCAACTTTGGCAAGATCCTAAGTCACTAACATGATGCTGCCTCCCTGGGAGGCCATTTATGTTCCACTGAATAGAATATAATTTATGGTATCTGGTAGTTCAGGAAAAACAAGCTGATCATGGGCCCTTTTCTACCAACGTGTCACATGAGCACTGATTTTAGGAGATAGTGTTTCACTGAGCAGGAAGCATCTGCATGGGGGTGGAATGCAGTATGTGCTGCTGCTGAGCTGACTCTGGTTTGGGCTGTCTGTCAGAGGCCACAGTTTCAGTCCAGCTTAACCAGTAGGGATGATGACTCCCCCTCAGGGCTGAGCCCTTGTGCCATTGAACTGTGTGAGCAGAGCACAGAGGGAGAGCATGTGTGGCCGGGCGTGAACAAAAAGAGGAGAGAAGAATAGCAATAACTCATCTCTAGGATGAAAGAATAAACAACAGCACCCTTCCTCAGTTATTTGAAATAAAGGCAAGTGTCCGAGCAAACTTAGAGCAGAGATATTAGCCAATTCCCTACCGCTCCTTTCTCAACACAATCAAAAAGAGAAAAACTTTGTATTTGGATCCATGGGATTTTTGTATTCTTCTTGACTTTTGTAGCAAAAGACAAATGATAACACTGAAAACAAAGTCTGGGGAGCATCCATATACAAGCAGGCCTTAACACAATTACGTGCAGAGAAGGAAATGCAGCCTGCATTGTGTCCTGATCCCCACGGCTCTGCCTCAACCTCCCTATTTGAACATGGAACAGAGAGTGTGTCAGGTAAGGTGGTAGCTAGGAGGTGAGGAGGCCTTCAAATGGTCTTAGACAAAAAAAGACATTACAAATTCAACACGAAGATGTATACTTTCATTCCTGCTCTCACGTAGCACACTGGAAACTAAAACAGACCGCAGCTCCAGGACAGAAGGGAGGTAATCAAAACATGACTGGACTTTGAATGGACAAATTAGTTCCAATCTAGAAATCTATATCCAGCCAAAGTAGCACACTGGAAACTAAAACAGACCGCAGCTCCAGGACAGAAGGGAGGTAATCCAAACATGACTGGACTTTGAATGGACAAATTAGTTCCAATCTAGAAATCTATATCCAGCCAAACTGCCCATAAAGTTTGAGGACAGATTGTTGACAATTTCATGAATGGTTTCAGAATTTTACCTTCCACTCCCCCTTTTCAGGAAGCTACAAGATGTGAGCTACTGAATGAAAGATATGGGGTGTAGGAAACGGGAGATCCAACATAGTAGAGCATCTTGTCACCATTTTGTGACAAGAGATCCCAGGATGACTACTGTGCCCTAGGTACAGATGCTAGCCCACCTAGATTGCAGTAGAGCAGAAGGCTGCAGGAGAACCTCTTCAGAAAAGAATTCCTGTGGGGTTCAGCATCATGAGAGACGTTTGTGAGTGACAGAGGTTTAGTGTAAAATTCACAGTAAATACATAGAAAACTAATTTTAAAATGTGTATAGGAAGAGTAATCATGTTTTACTATATTGAAGGCTATAAATTCCCTATTGTATCATTGTCATCCACAAATTTTGACATGTGGTATTTTTATTACCAACTAGTTCAAAGTATTGTCTATTTTCCACTGTGATTTTTTATTTGATCAATGAGTGGAAAAGAAAGTTGTAAAATTTCCAAATGTAAGAGAATTTTAAGAATACATATTTTTTTCCTTGATTTCTTGTTTAATTGTATTGTAGGCAGAGAATGTATCCTGTGTGATATGGATTCTTTGAAATTCATTAAGACTTACTTTGTGGCCAAGTTTGTAGTAAGTGTTTATAAATGTCCCCTGTGTGCTTGAGGATGTACTTTTGTAATCATGGGTGTTTTTCCTAAGTGTTTATCCAACAAATCAAATTCATTAGGAATGTGCAGGTTTTCTAAATCTTTAAAACTTCTTCCTCTGTTGACTTACCAATAATTGGCAGAGATGTGTTACAGTCTCCCATAGTGAGAGTGGGTTTGTTCATTTCTCTGTGTAGTTTATTAGTTTATGCTTTATATA